ATGTGCTGAGCACGGCCGGGGGGAAATCTTTCTGTCACGAATGTGCAGCGCTCCGATGTCTGCCCTAGCAAAGCTCAGCACATGCTTTCTCAACTCGCACATCGACGAAACATGCGATCATCGATGTCAGTCGGAACCCCCCTCGGAGTTCGAACGCTTGGCGAATCATATCTACCTCCTCAGCGAACGTCTCCGGTCCCTTCGGCGGCAGTGCCTCAGACAGTGGGTGGCGGATATTTTCGACGAACTGCGCGAGGCCGTGAAGATAGGTCGGCAGGCCGAAGTGGCCGGGCTACTGGGTTGCTCTCGGCTAGAGGGGCGTGCCCGAAGAAACGGAACGACAGACGTCCGCCTGTGGCCCTCCCATTCAGCAAAGAGCTGCCGGATAGGTGGCTTCTCCCAGCGCCTCAGGGAGGAATGGCTGCACTTGTAGTAGACTGGCCTGCCCATGCCGACGAAGATGCATATGATCCCGACCGCGGGCAAATGGCGAATTTTTTCCTGGGCAGCTATGCCAATGAGGGCCTCGAGTGGGCCAAGGACAACCTGCGACAACTCAGGCAATCTATGCAGAAGGCAGGGCGTCGGCGAGCTGTTCTGAGTGGCCCGCGCCGCTCGAATCTTTCGTTTTCCTTCCCGCCGCGCCTGGGAACCGTCCGCGGGTTTCTTGGTCGCATTCGCGCTGGGGGCCGTCCGTCCGGCTGGGGGCCGTCCGCAATGCCCGGCGGCCCCAGCGGGCCCTTCTGGTTTGGCATCTTTCTCAGGCAGCGGCCTTGTCCTGGAAGCGCGCGGTCCATGTCCTTCGCCCCTTCGGCGAAGCTTTCGTCTCGACGTGCGTCGGCCCCGAGGAGGAAGATGGGGGGCCTCTCTCGTCTCGCGGCTGCGTCTCCCGTCGCCGGCGCGAGGCGCTTGGCTGGAGGCCGCGCGAGCCTGGCTACGAATTTGCCAATGTTCATAAGGATATCACCAACGCATTCGGATCAACTAGCCGGGGCTCATTAGCTCGGGCCACCAGGGAGTTGATGAGGGGAGGGGGGCGCGTGTGCGGGGGGTCAGGGGTGTGAGGTTTCAGCTGTGTGTTTTCGAGGACATAATGGGCGTCGTTTTGTCGAGCCGTGGGTGGGGGCCTCGCGGGGGGGCCCCTGGGCGGTTAAATTTTCCCGCGAGACATCAGTGACTGCTTTGGGGAGGCGCAGGCTGCATTCGCCGAAGCAGGCGAACCTGGTGCTCAACTTTGCGTGGTTGACCCTCTGCCTGAAGGCCGCGGGCCTCTGGAGCTGGACTTATCGTTTCGCAGCTATGTGGATGGCGCGCCGCGCGAGCTCGTTGCGAGCCCGTCTGGAAATTCAGCAGTCTCCCTCAGCAGGCAGTCGATGCTCTACGATCAGATCTTCAGTCAGTGCTAGGCAGAACGTAACTGTATGCTCAACCCCGTCAGGAATGTGTCGGACGTGTCGTTCCATGGTCGAGGGCAGCAAACACGCGATCCTATCATCAATAACAAGGCAATTCCAACGGCAGGCACCCCGAACGACGTAGCAAAGTACCTGGGCGCACTTGTGCGGCACGGCAGCAAGCTCAATAGTGAATTACAAGCACGACTCGATGCCACTCCTGCTGGTTATTGGTCTATGGGTACGTATTGGTACACTCCCAGGGTGCCGTATGTTGAAAGGCGTGCTATGTTCTCCAGCAAGGTTGTGGGCCCCGCGGTTCCAGCTCTCGAGGTCTTTCTCCCCGCCCCGACGCAGATCCAGAGGCTCCAACATAAATTTGTTGAGCTCGGTCGTCGCGCGCTTCAAGGAGTGGCCGCGGAGTGGCGTCATGACCGCCGTCGTCCCAGTCCTGCCCTGCGTGTGCTACAGCTCGGGCGCGTTGTGCCGTTGGAGACGGAGCTTCGAGTTCGCGGGCTGAAATGGTGCCAGAAGTGGGTGCAGCAGCCTCACCTCCACGCGGCTGACTGGGGCGCGCTCGTCATTGCTATTCGTGCTGAGCGTGCAAGAGGCATCCAGATCATCGGCTCTGCAGGTGAGCTTGCCCCTCATGCGTCGCCATGGGCACGTGGGTCCGCAGCTGACGTTGAGGGCCTCCGCAAGCTGCGGGGGGGGGGGGGTTCGGCGCGCTCCGACGCAATAGATTGGGGGCTCCAGGCCCCTGGCGCTCTCTGATGATCACGATCTTTCGGATTGGCTCGGCAGACTTGATATGAATCAACTCCGGGCAGCATCCTGGACAGTAAGTGCCCCCCCTGGGTTCAGGCTTCCGATGCCCCTGCCAGATGTCTATCGAGACCCTCGAGATGATGAAGACTTGATGGGTGTGCGCGTTGTTTTGCAGGGTGCCGGCGCAAATTTCCTACGCGACGGCAACTTACGAGTCGTCTACAACAAGGGTACGGGCTACAGGATATCTAGGGATTCTAACTACGGATAATCAATTCTTTGTCTGTGGGCAGGTTTTCGAGGCCAGGAACTTGGCCCACAAACGCGTTGTCGCATCGTTCCGCGCGGGTATATGTGTCATGGGCAGATCTCATGCGTGTCGGGCAGTTGGCGACGGAGATCAAACGACATATGCCTGCGGGCTTTGTGGCGCGTCTGGGCTCGAGCGCGATGCGCTACGTCAGAATTAGAGTGAAACTTCACTCTTCTTCCGGTTGTCTGTCAGGCCCGACGTCCACCCAGCGACGCCCCCCGCGGGCGCGCCGGCGGCCTCGGCGACGGCGGCGACAGGAAGCGCGATGCAGGGGCCGAAGATGCCTGCATGGGGCCTCGCTCTCGGCAGACCTCGCGGCGAAGACGGCGAGCCGGCGTCCAAGGGTCCTCGCGAGGCGCGGCTGGACATGCCCAAGACGAGCGCTCAGAAGAACCATGGGGTCTTCCCAGCTCGGCCCCTGGAAGGCGCCGGCGCGCGTCCTGGCCGGGCTCTGCGCGGCCAACTGGCGCGACGTGGCCGACCGCATTGGCGCCTCGTTCAGTTGTTGTCTGCTTCCCGCTGCTCGCGTGATCGCCCGGGCGCTCCAAGATGCGGGAAAAAACGCGCGCGACCACGTGCGAGGGGGAGGGGGGGGGCGCTGTCCGGGCCCCCCGTGGCCCCGCATGTGGGCGGCATTGATCATATCATTTTCATCGACAAGGGCGCCCCAGAGAAGGCGGAGGGACCTCTTCAAGTGAACTGGGGTGCGAACGTCGGCCGCGCCGACAGCAGCTTGGCGGCGTTGCAGGGTCAGGTTCGGCGCGGTCGCATGGGGCCCACCTACTGCAACAAGAAGAAAAGGGGAAACCGTCGACAGTCGAGCTCCAGTCCATGCTCGCGGCGGAAGCGCAGACGGCGACGGTGGGCTGGAACGGGGGGAACGTAGGCAGTATGCGCATGGCGGTGTGTCAGAGCCTCCTTGCTCTTGGGGGCCAGTGCAAGCCAGGAGGCCCTCCCGAGGGGGGCTCGAGAGGGGGGCGGAGCGTCTCCTCGGCAAGCTCGGCGCGAAGATGGGCCCGCACGAGGAACTGAGCGAGGGCGAGGAGGAGGAGTAGCCAACCTTGTTGCCATCAGAGGATCAGCTCGAATGGTTGAGATGGCCCGTGACGGTCCGCTCCAGCACTCAGGATTGACAGTATTGCAGAACCGCTCTGTGGACCCCATATTATGTTATGAGACCTCGGCAGGCCAGGAGTTCACAGCATTCGATTCGAATGCGCTCCGCCTTTCCATGTCTCTATTGGATCTTACCAGGCGAGCCTCCAATGTCCGAGCCATGCGTATGAGAGTGGGCCCTCAGGTTGCAACTTGTAGCGTCCGATGATCGTGCGCACCATCGGCTCGTGAGTGTTCGTGTGAATCCAGATTTGTCGCAGTTGCCTTCGCAAGCGTTGGGCGATGACGAAAGGACACCCGACCCCAGCCATGAGGTGGAACTGTGTGGGCGCCCTGGGGTCATTTTTCTTTCTGAGCCCGCTTGCGGCGTGCGCGAGTGTACTCACGTGTGTGCACGCTCTGTCATTTCTGGTGTACACTTCTTTCATGCTCTTTCACATGACACATGCAAGCGACCCCATCGACGTCGCTCGCGCGCTCAGCTGCGGAGCGGTGCCCAGCCGAGGCCCCCAGGCCACCCCTTTCGGAGGCTTTCGGAGTGGGCCTGAGACATTCCCCTGCAGAGCGATTCAGACAATCGCTCACAGTGAAGCGAACACAGGTCCAGCTGCTGTACTTCAATGCTCGCTTTTATTCATGTCATTGCGTTGCTCAGTCAGATAGCCCCCATATTATGTTATGAGACCTCGGCAGGCCAGGAGTTCACTGCATTCTATTCGAATGCGCTCCGCCTTTCCATGTCTCTATTGGATCTTACCAGGCGAGCCTCCAATGTCCGAGCCATGCGTATGAGAGTGGACCCTCAGGTTGCAACTTGTAGCGTCCGATGATCGTGCGCACCATCGGCTCGTGAGTGTTCGTGTGAATCCAGATTTGTAGTAGTTGCCTTCGCAAGCGTTGGGCGATGACGAAAGGACACCCGACCCCAGCCATGAGGTGGAACTGTGTGGGCGCCCTGGGGTCATTTTTCTTTCTGAGCCCGCTTGCGGCGTGCGCGAGTGTATTCACGTGTGTGCACGCTCTGTCATTTCTGGTGTACACTTCTTTCATGCTCTTTCACATGACACATGCAAGCGACCCCATCGACGTCGCTCGCGCGCTCAGCTGCGGAGCGGTGCCCAGCCGAGGCCCCCAGGCCACCCCTTTCGGAGGCTTTCGGGGTGGGCCTGAGACATTCCCCAGCAGAGCGATTTAGACAATCGCTCACAGTGAAGCGAACACAGGTCCAGCTGCTGTACTTCAATGCTCGCTTTTATTCATGTCATTGCGTTGCTCAGTCAGATAGCAAGTGGGTCGCAAGTGAATCAGTCAGTGAGTCAGTCCTCCTCCTCTTCCTCCTCCTCCGCCTCTTCCTTCCCCTCCACTTCCTCCTCTTCCTCCTCCTCCTCCTTCGCTCCCGCCTCCGCCAGAACCGCTGTTCGGCTCCCGGCCCAAGCTGTCGCCGGACGACCAGTGGTGGTGCTCGAAGATGGCCCGTGCGCCGAGCAGCGCGAGGGCCAGGCGCGTTTCGTTCGCCGCCGCCGCCCGCGGGCCGGCCATCGGGCGGCCCTGCGGCGGCTTCTGGCGGCGACCTTTGGCGGCGGCGCGACGACGATGGTGGTGGCGGTCGTCGTCGTCCGTCGCTCGTCGGCCGCCGGTCCGTCAGTCCATCGCTGTGTCGTCGGCCGTCGTGGTCAGCGTCCGGCATCGTCGCCTTCGTCGTCGTCGTCGTCGTCGTCGTCGTCGTCGTCGTCGGCGTCGGCGTCATCATCATCATCATCATCATCATCATCATCATCATCGTCACCATCACCATCGTCATCATCATCATCATCAGAAAGAACGGGTTCTACCAGTGTTGGCAAAAAACCAGAAAGGGGGTCACTAGGGTTTCCCAATTCCCAACCTGCCCCCCCCTTCTCGAAAATCGAGGGGGGGCCACTACGGGTTCGAACCCCTCCCCCCGCCCCCAGTCCATCATGAAAAGGGGGGGGGCGGTCACTATCGGTTCGAACCCCCCCCCCTCGAAAACCGGGGGGTGCCATTACCGATTCGAACCCACCCACCCCTCGAAAACCGGAGGGGGCCACTACGGGTTCGAAACCCCCCACCCCCCTTCGCCGCCTGCAAACAATGCCCGCTCTTCGGGACAGTTGGACAGTGGTGGGGATACTGTGACAGTGGTGTGGTGGGAACGGTGGTGGTGGGAACAGTGGTGCGGGCACAGTGGGACAGTGGTGCGGACAGTGGTGCGGACAGTGGTGGGGAGGGTGGTGGTGGGGACAGTGGTGGGTGGACAGCGGGACAATGGTTGGGACACTGGGACAATGGTGGGGACGGTAGTGGTGGGGACAGGGGTAAAGGCGGTGGTGCGGACAATGGTGGGACAGTAGTACAGTGGGGATAGTGGTGGGGACAGTGGGGACAGTGAGACAATGGTCGGAACAGTGGGGACAGCGGGACAACACAGTGGAACAGCGGCGGGGACAGTGGGAACAGTAAAACAGTAGTAAAAACACTAGAATCAGTGGGACAGTGGTGGGGGCCGTGGGGAAAGTGGGGTGAGTGGGACCGTGGTGGGACAATGGTGTAGAGGAGTGGGGGCAGTGCGACAGTGGTGGGGGCACTGGTGGGGACAGCGGGGACAATCGGGAACAGTGGCGAGGACGGTGGTGAGACAATGGGACAGAGGTACAGTGGGGACAGTTGTTGGGATAGTGGGGACAGCGGTGGGAACAGTGGGACAGCTCAGTGGGACAGCGGCGGGGACAGTGGGACAGGGGGACTGTGGGGACAGTGGGGACACTGGGGCAGAGGTTCATTGGGACCGTGGGAAAAGTGGGGAGTGGGATCGCGGTGGGAACAGTGGGGACAGTGCGACAGTGGTGGGGGCATTGGGTGGGACAGTGGGGACGGTGGTGGGAACAGTGTGGACAGTTGTGGGGACGGTAGTGGTGGGGACAGTGGTGAAGGTGGTGGTGCGGACGGTGGTGGGACAGTACTACAGTGGGGAGTGGTGGGGACAGTGGGACAGTGGTGGGAACCGTGAGGACAGTGGGACAGTGGTGGGGACCGTGGGGACGGTGGGGAGAGTGGGACCGTGGTGGGACAATAGTGGGGAGAGTGAGGGCAGTGAGACACTGGTGGGGGCACTGGTGGGGACACCAGGGACAATGGTGGGAACAGTGGGGACAGTGGGACAGGAATGGGGACTGTGGGACAGTGGTGGAGACGGTGGTGGTGGGGACAGTGGTGTGGGGACAGTGAGAATGTGGTTGGGACAGTGGGACAGTGGTGGAGACAGTGGTGGTGGGGACAGTGGTGAGGGCGGTGGCGAGGACGGTGGTGGGACAATGGGACAGAGGTGCAGTGGGGACAGTGGTGGGGACAGTGGGGACAGCGGTGGGAATAGTGGGACAGCTCAGCGGGACAGCGGCGGGGACAGTGGGACAGTGGGACAGTGGGGACAGTGGGGACAGTGGGACAGTGGTTGGGACCGTGGGAAAAGTGGGGCGAGTGGGATCGCGGTGGGAACGGTGGTGAGGACAGTGGGGACAGTGCGACAGTGGTGGGGGCACTGGTGGGATCAGTGGGGACAGTGGTGGGAACAGTGGGGACAGTGGTGGTGAGGACAGCGGTGCTGGGGACGGCAGTGGGGGATGTGGTGCGGACGGTGCTGGGGACCCGGGAGTCGATTGCCAGCGGTGTGTGGGGGGGGGTTCGAACCGGTAGTGACCCCCCCAGGTTTTCTGGAGGGGGGGGTTTCGAACCGGTAGTGACCCCCTCTTGTTTTTTGGAGGGGGGGGGAGGGGGTTCGAACCGGTAGTGACCCCCCCGGTTTTCTGGAGGGGTGGGGAGGGGTTCGGACCGGTAGTGACCCCCCCTTGTTTTCCGCCGGTGGGGAGGGGGGGGGGGGGTAGGGCGGGGGGTTTTGCCAGGGAGAAAGGGGGGGGGTCCAGCAGGGGGGGGGGATTTTCGGAGGGGGGGGAGGGGGGGCCCCCGGATTCCGGAGGAAAACGGGGGGAAATTTTCCACAGTAAAGCGGCGGTGGTTCACGCTCTCTCAATTATCATCATCATCATCATCATCATCATCATCATCATCATCATCATCATCATCATCATCATCATCATCATCATCATCATCATCATCATCATCATTATCATTATCATTATCACTATCATTATCATTATCATTCTCATTCTCATTCTCATTATCATCATCATCATCAGCATCAGCATCAGCATCAGCATCAGCATCAGCATCAGCATCAGCATCAGCATCATCATCGTCATCTTCATCATTATCATCATCATCATCAGCATCATCATCATCACCATCGTCATCATCATCATCATCATCATCATCATCATCATCATCGTCCGTTGTCGTCGTCGTCGTCATCGTCGTCATCGTCACCGTCGTCGTCGTCGTCGTCGTCCCGTCGTCGTCGTCGTCGTCGTCGTCGTCGTAGTCGTCGTCGTCGTCGTCGTCGTCGTCGTCGTCGTCGTCGTCGTCGTCGTCGTCCTCGTCGTTGTCGTTGTCTTCGTCGTCGTCGTCGTCGTCGTGGCCCGTGTCGTCGTCGGAACTTCCGCGTTTTCTTCATTCTTTTCCCGCGCGCCGGTCCTGCGCGATCGCCCTCGCGCAGGCGCGGCTGTTGAGGTGTTCAGGGGAGCGTGTTCGCGGCACGCCCTTTCCGTGCTCTCGGGGCGGTTCGGGCTGTTCGTGGCATGGTCGCCCTCCTCCCCCGCCCCCTCCCCTGAGATCCGACGTAGCCGAACTGTTGCAACATCGAAATCAAAACACTGCCCGAGCCCCAGACCCCATGTTCCTGCATCCTTCTTCGAGCCGGAGCAGTCTGTGAGGGCCCCGAGGCCGGAAAAAAAACAGAAACGCCTGGCTCGAAGAAGTGGAGATGTGGGCCCCCGCCGCCTCCCAGTCTTCAGTCGGGCCTGTCCCTTTACAGGAGGAATATTCAAAAATAGTCACAGAATAGTCTGGGGAGGATTTTTGGAGTATTTTTTCCCTACCTAGGCTCTGCCTAGAAGGGTTCTTACTCTCTAGCTTAAAGGGGCCGGGCAATGGAAAGCGCCCCGGGCGGTTCCCCCAGTCCCCGCCCCGCGGTTCCCCCAGTCCCCTGGGAGCTTTAGCTTTAGATTTAGCTTTAGCTTAGCTTTAGCTTAGCTTTAGCTTAGCTTTAGCTTAGCTTTAGCTTAGCTTTAGCTTAGCTTTAGCTTAGCTTTAGCTTAGCTTTAGCTTAGCTTTAGCTTAGCTTTAGCTTAGCTTTAGCTTAGCTTTAGCTTCGCTTTAGCTTCGCTTTAGCTTAGCTTTAGCTTAGCTTTAGCTTAGCTTTAGGTTAGCTTTAGCTCAGCTTTAGCTTAACTTTAGCTCAACTTTAGCTTAGCTTTACCTCAGCTTTAGCTTAGCTTTATCTTAGCTTTATCTTAGCTTTATCTTAGTTTTAGCTTAGCTTTCGCTTAGCTTTAGCTTAGCTTCAGCTTAGCTTTAGCTTAGCTTTAGCTTAGCTTTAGCTTAGCTTTACTGTTACTGCTAATGCTGCCTTCCTATCGGCTCCAACTCCTAGGTAGGGTCGCACTGGGATAATTGACAGTTTTGAGATATTGTTGGCGCATTTTTAATTCCCAACCCTCCTTGGTTGGGTATTCGTTTTGAATAGAGCAGTGTGGTCGCGTCCCTTCTCCCGCCCTTCCTCCTTTTCCCCTCCAGCCTCTTCATGTCTTGCCCGCGGGGGGCTGCGATCTGTGAAACTGTCGCAATTTTCGAGGCCTGCTGGGGGGCCCAGCACAGTGAGGGCCACGGGCGGATCCAAATTAGACCTCGCCATCCCTGGGGGGCTGAGATCTGTGAAACTGTCGCCATTTTCGAGCCCTGCTGGGGGGCCAGCACAGTGAGGGCCACGGGCGGATCCAAATTAGACCTCGCCATCCCTGGGGGGCTGAGATCTGTGAAACTGTCGCCACTTTCGAGGCCTGCTGGGGGGGCCCAGCACAGTGAGGGCCACGCGCGGATTCAAATTAGACCTCGCCATCCCTGGGGGGCTGCGATCTGCGAAACTGTCGCCATTTTCGAGGCCTGCTGGGGGGCCCAGCACAGTGAGGGCCACGCGCGGATCAAATTAGACCTCGCCATCCCTGGGGGGCTGCGATCTGCGAAACTGTCGCCATTTTCGAGGCCTGCTGGGGGGCCAGCACAGTGAGGGCCACGCGCGGATTCAAATTAGACCTCGCCATCCCTGGGGGGCTGCGATCTGCGAAACTGTCGTCATTTTCGAGGCTTGCTGGGGGGCCCAGCACAGTGAGGGCCACGCGCGGATTCAAATTAGACCTCGCCATCCCTGGGGGGCTGCGATCTGCGAAACTGTCGCCATTTTCGAGGCCTTCTGGGGGGCCCAGCACAGTGAGGGCCACGCGCAGATTCAAATTAGACCTCGCCATCCCTGGGGGGCTGCGATCTGCGAAACTGTCGCCATTTTCGAGGCCTGCTGGGGGGCCCAGCACAGT